CTAACAGAATACAAACCGAAATCTTTCAACAAACTGAGGATTCATCATGGGAGGCGCTCACTCATCTATGCCAAGAAAATTGCAAGACAGCCACCTGGCCAACCGACTGGAAGAGATCCATATGAGTGACCAAACAGAAAGCAGAAATCATCTTAAAATGTCATTAATATCACATGTAAGTAAAATGGCTGCAACAGTACATTGACAGGGAGCTACCAGAATTTCAAGCTGGATTCAGAAGATGTGAAACTACAGCATCATTGCTGATGTCGATGGATCTTGACTAAAAGCAGAGAATGAATACCAGAAAGCTGTTTACTTGTGCTTTATTAACAATGCAAAGGCTTTTGGCTGTGTGGAACATGACAAGCCATGGATAACACTGTGAAGAATGGGTATTCCAGAACACTTAACTGTGTTCATGAGGAACCTGTACATAAACCAAGAGACAGTTGTTAGAGCAGAACAAGAGGATACTGAATGGTTTAAAATCAGGAAAGGTGTGCATCCGAGTTGTGTCCTTTCATCATACTTGATAAGATGACGAATAATGCAGCACCAAGATTGGAGGATGACTCATTAACAACCTGTAATATGCAGATGATACAAACTTGCTCACTGAAAGCAAAGAGGAAAATATTTACTGATGAAGATCAAAAGACTACAGCTTTAAATATGGATTGCATGCAATGTAAAGAAAACAAAAATCCTCACCACTGGACCAATAACTAACATCATGACAAATAGATAAAAGATTGAAGTTGTCAAAGGCTTCATTTTGCTTGGATCCACAATCAATATTCTTGGAAAGAGCAGTCAAGAAATCAAACAACATATTCCATTAGGCAAATCTGCTCCCCAAGACCTCTTTACAGTGTTCAAGAGCAAAGATACCAGCTTGAGGACTAATATTCACCTGAACCAAACCATGGTATTCTCAATTGTCTGGTATGCATGTGTGAGACAATGCAGAAAGAAGACCGTAGAAGAAGCGATGCATTTCAGTTATGGTGTTGGTGAATACAGAAAGTACCAGGTATTGTCAAAAGAACAAACAAATCTATGTTGGTACAGCCTATAGGTTCACATACCAGCTCCTCATGAGCACAATTAGGTGTTATGGAATATCCATTCTTCACAATGTTATCCATAGCGTGTCATGATCTACACAGCTGAAAGTCTTTGCATAGTCAATAAGCCACAAGTAAACCTTCTGGTATTTTCTACTTTCAGCCAAGATCCATTTAACATGCTATTCCTAGCTTCACATCCTCTTCTGAATCCAGCTTTAATTTCTAGGAGCTCTCTGTTGATATACTCTCATAACTGTTTTGAATTACCTTTGGCAGAATTTCACTTGCATGCGATATTAATGATATTATTTGATGATTTCCGCATTCCATTGGGTCACCTCTCTATGGTGATGAGACCTCCAGCACTGCACCAGTGTGTTTATAGAAAACTTCAATATCTCAACAGGTAAAAAAAATCAAAGTTAAAAATGGGCAGAGGACATAAACAGACACCTCACCAAAGATGACATTCATAGAGGGATACTCACAATCATTAATCATTACCCTCCCAGCCTATGAGTTGGTTCCCACTCACAATGACCCCATAGGAGAGAGTAGAACTTTCTATAAATTTATAAATCTATAAATCTCAGGTGACAGCTTCATCTTTCTACAGCAAAGCCACTGGTAGATTTGAACCACCAACCCTGTGTGTAGCAGTACAACACTTAATATACTACACCACCGGGTTACTACACTAACCATTAGAGAGGCAAGTCAAAACAATGAGGTCTCATCTCACCCAAGCATTAGAAGCAAACTTCCAAAAACAACAAATGCTGCTAAAGGTGTGAAGACTGGACCCCTCATACACTGCTGGCAGGAGAGTGAAATAGTACGAGTGTGGAAAATCGTCAGGGTTTCCTTAAACACATGGGAACAGAAATGCCGTATGATCCTGCAATTCCACTACCTGTATACACCCTAGAGAAATAAGAAACATAACAAGACTAGAGATACGCACGCTCATGGTCAGTCACGGTAACACTACTCACAAGAGCAAAAACAACGTGAACGCTCACCAACAGAAGAATGCATAAATAAACTATGGTACATGAACACAATGCTACAGAATCTTGTGGCATCTATAAAACACCTCATAACACATGTGAACCTAGAGGACATCATGCTAAATGAAATAAGTCAATCAATCACAATAGGACAAATGGACCACAATTACAAAAAGTCAAGAAAAAGTTTAAACACAAAAAGAAACATTTCTTATGTGTTTTCTGGTTACCAGTGGTAAGAAGGGAAGGAAAAGTAAATCATTAAAGGGTGGATGCATGGCACCGAGTCCAGCTCTGGCTCACAGTGACCCTGGACAGGGTTTCCAAAGCTGTAAATCTTTAGGGGAGCAGAAAAAACTCATGTTTCTCCCATGGACCGACCGGTACATTTGAACTACTGACCTTGTGGTTAGCAGCCCAGCTTGTAATCCACTATACTACCAGAGCTCCTTAACTGGGTGGTGCTGGTTGGGGTTTATGTGCCACGGAGTCGATTCAGACTCATAACGACCCTGTATAGGGTTTCTGAGGTTGTAAATCTGTACAGGAGCAGAAAGCCCCATGTTTCTCTCACAGAACAGCTGGTAGTTTTGAACTATTGACTGTAAGATTAGCAGCCCGACTCATGACACATATTAATTTGGGTGAAAGGGAAAACAATATATAATAAGAGGGAGGTCAGTGAAAAAAGATGAAGGCAAAGGAAGACAATGAGAGGAGTGTCAGATTTAGAGGAAAGAGAGGGAAACACTGTTAATACACAACCCTGCAATACAATGATCTACTAGTGCATACAAGATACGCAAGAGGGGGAAACACTGTTAATATACAATCCCACAGTACAATGATCTACTAGTGCATACAAGA